CCTAGTGGCTAAAGTTCTTGCTTTGAATGCGCCGGGATCCCATATGGGCGCCAGTTCTAATCCCAGCAGCCCCACTTCCCATCCAGCTCCCTGCTTGTGGCCTGGGAAAGCAGTTGAGGACGGCCCAAAGCTTTGGGACCCTGCACCCGTGTGGGATACCCGGAAGAAGTTCCTGGATCCTGGCTTCAGATCGGCCGTTGTGCTCACTTGCGGAGTGAATCATCAGACGGAAGATCTTCCTCTCTGTCTCTCCTCCTCTCTGTATATTTGACTTTCCAATAAATAAATAAATCTTAAAAAAAAAAAAAAAGCCTCTGCTGGAGTCTCCCTTTCCCCAGCGACCCCAGACAGGCTCCGCATGAGGACAGGAAGGCACCAAGAGGGCCAGGAGACCTGCTCAGGGGCAGGAAGGCAGCAGGAGAGGATCCAACCGTATCCTGGCCCCCCTACACCCTCTCTACTACACTAAGTCACTGCCTGGCGTGGAAATCTCCCAATCTCCCAGCTGCCCCCAACTCTTCCTCCTCACCCTAGCCTCTGTCATCCCCCAGCCTGGGCAGTAGCACCTGCCGGCCTGACCTTACGCAAATAGCTCCCCGAGGCTGCACATCTGCCCAGGCCTGCCTTCTACCAGGGTCCTCTCCTTGGTACTTTTAATCGCAAAAGGCAGCATGCCCAACAGGCAGTTTTAGGAAAACAGCATGCCAGGGCAGCAGCCCCAGGACGCCCTCTACCCTTGACTTCCATCAGCCTTGGCCCCACTCAACTCTCCCATGGCGGGGGCTGTTCCTGTGCAGGGTCCCTAGGAACTGCCCCGCTGTCCCGCTGGAGCGTCAGCCTTCCAGGCCAGGGGCCTTGGCCACCTTCACTGTGCACCTTCAGCCTCCAGTACAGCGCCCAGCACACAGCAGGTACTCCACTTCTACAGGACGAATGGACGAATGAATAGGCAGACCTCATCACGGCCTCAGCGACGGTGAGAAGGCGAGCCCGGGGAGGGGAGGAAGATGCGGCCACTGGGTACCACCCAATATGCTCACAGCAAAACTCTCTGACGCCTGAGTCCAAGCCCTCTGCCCACCTGCCCGCCCACACCTCCGCTCGCCTGCTCACCCAAACATGCACACACACCGTCCCTGGACTGTGACCACATCCTAAGCCCGGAGCAGCTCAGGACTCGGCAGGGATTAGCAGTCTATGGAGGCCTGTAATGGACACTCTCAGGAGAGGAGCTGGCAAGGGTGACCATGAAGGAGGACAGGGACTCCCAGGGTGGGCTCCCCCAGCATTTCATGAACACACGTGGCAAGGAAGGAGAATCTTTGTCAGCCAGGTTTCATAAGGAAGATCCTGTTTGCCAGGCGGAGCTCTCAGCACCCGCGTGTGCTCCATAACCAGAAGGGGGATTGGAGATTGTAGAAGCTTGGGACAGAAGCCCTCTCCTAATAGGGCCCAATCAGGAGCCTGGAAGTGAAGGAGACCAGCTCACCCTCCACCCCCATAGGGTGTGATCTGTGAAGGAGGGCAGAGGGGTTCCCTAAGAACCCCTGAAACATGTGGATTTATTTCCCCAGCAGCCAACGCTTGGCAGCTTCCAGCTCACATCTGACCCATCCACGCCTCCTCTGCAGGAGAGCTGGTATCCTTGCCTCTCTCACTCCCACCTCTGCACCCTGGGGCCTGCCTGCGTCTCCTGGAATCCCTTCTGCTCACAGCCCCACACAGGCCGTTTGGCCCTACCTCCTGTGCCCCACCCCCTGGAAGCCAGCCCTGAGCCAGCAACCTTCCCTGTGCTGAGGGGAGAGAAAAAGGGTGCTCAAAGGAGGGGGATTCGGGGTCCCTGTATCTAACCTCTCCACCCTTACCCCCATTCAGGGTACCTCTCCAGCAGGGAGATGAACCATCCACCATGAATGACCAAGGGCACAGGGAAGCAGCCGGCACAGGGTGGTAGCCAGAGGGGCTCAGGGAGGGGCCTCCGACACCCAAGGACAGAGGCAACCAATGGATGGATGGGATGACAAGAAGCTGGTGGAAGGCAACAGCTGCAGATTGGGGGTTAGGGGAGGGGCCGGGCTCCCACAAACTCAGGGCCCATGTGGCCTGTGCCTACATTCCAGGGGTCCCTTCGGGGAAAGCTTCTTGCAAGCGTGGCTACTCTTCAAGTTAACTGCAAGGAGAAGGCCCGGAGCATGGGCTACCACAGAGCAGAGCAACATGGCTATGGCTTGAGACCTTGTGCACCCACATGGGCTTGGTGCAACTCCCAGCAGGTGTCAGGGCCCTAAAAATATCCTCCCCTGCTCTTTCTTCTAGGAGCACCTGCCAGCCCTCCGCCCTCCGCTGCCCATGGACTGGCCTGCACCCCTTCACTCCCACACACCCCTTCTTCCCTCCTGTAATTACCTGCCCGGCTCCAGCATCCCACCCTCCTCCCTCCAGCCCACTCCATGAGGACTCCTAGGTGGCAGCCCTCCAGGGGCCAGGGGGTAAGCTCCCACTCCCTTCCCCTGTCCTGTCCCAGCTGTCCTTCTCAACCTCTAATCCTTTCTGTCATCTGACCCAAGTCCCACCCTAAATTGGCTTTGCCCAGTCACCTTTGGAGGCCCAAAAATGGACACGGTCGTTGCACAGAGTCAAACGCAATGGGAAGATGACCTCATGGCACCCACAGGCCGCAGTTCCAGGCACGCACTCTGCACCCCACACACTGGGGACAGCTGGGAGGCACGGAATGTGGATGAGCCCTTACAGGACAGAGCTCCGTGTGGGCCACAGACACTGCCCCCTGCCTAAGTCAGCATCCAGGGGCTCAGCCCAGGAAGTAGTGCACAACAGATGTCAGGCAGGGAGTGACAGAGGAGGGAAGGCGGAGGGGCCTTCAGCACAGCCTGGCCCTGTCTCTAAGCCTGCGCCAGGCCAAGCCCCAATAACTATCCATGATGTACCTGCAGGAGCTGGGTGACTGCCCGAGGCACACTCTATTCCATCTGCCCAGGTGGGCCAGGGGGTAGCCACCATCTAGGAGGCCACAGAGACACCCATCAGGCCTGCAGTACCAAAGGGCAGGCTGCCCTTGACCTCAGGGTCACCCTCTGAGTCTCAGACTGGGAGAGATGAGGAGGAGATGCAAGGTGGTACCCTTCCTTCCACATGGAGGTTCCCCCACTGAGGGGCGACAGGGGAGCTGGAATGGCTCCACAGCTTCTGCGTGTGGCAGAGGCAAGGCAGCAGGATGGAGTCCACAGGAGTCAGGCGTAGAAGCAGCATCCCCTCTGGAAGACACTGAGAAGGTAACCGGCTTGGGGGCACCCAGTCTGTGACACGGAAGAAGGCAGAAGAACCTACAGCCAAGAAGGCAGTGAGCTCAAGGAACAATGCTTTCAGGGAGAGTCAAGAGGCCTGCTATGCCCAGAGGATCCCCAACAGTGCACAGGTTCTGGAAGCATCCACAACTGAGCAGCTGTGGTCAAGGAACAGGGGCTGCAGAGAGAGAGGACGCAGCCTACTCTGAGAACCACAGCAAAGAAGACGCTGCAGAGAAAAGGCAGCTGGGTGGGAGGTTAGGGGGTGGGGTGTTACACTCAGCAAGAGCAAGGGGGAGCTCCCTTCGCAATCCCAGCTCCCCATCCATCTCCCTGCCCTCCCTGTCCCCCAGGCCCAGGACTGCAGGCACCCTCAGGATTACCCTGTGGCTAGGGAGTCACAGCCGGGTACCCAAAGCCTTGCAGGTCTGCTGAAGACCATGGGGGACTCCAATCCCTCTTCCCGTCCCGTCTCCACCCCCTCCAAGCAGGGAGGGGGGAGTTGAGTCTGGCCAGATCTGGAGCTTGGCTGCCATCCTATCCCTGCTCGCACACCCACCCACCCACTCAGCCCAGAACGCAAGGATGAGCAGCAGCCCCCTCCCTCCCTGTCACGTGGCTGCACCCCTGGGGGGCCCAGCCCGCCGGTCCCCGCAGCACCAGTCACTGTTTATAAACAGCCTTAGAAACAGGCACAGAGCCTGCGCCCCCCGGCCTCTCGACTAGCCAGGGGCTGCCAGAGAGGCAGGCCCCACCCGCAGCTTCAGGGGCCACCCTGGCCAAGGCAGGGACTCTGCAATCTCAGATTTCAGGATCGGGATCAGCAGGGGAAGTGGCGTCAGCAGCTGGCGCGATCCAATTCAGCACACCCGAGGATCAGGGGGCTGGCCGGCCCAGACCCCCGCCTTCCCCTCGCCCGGAATCCCTCACAGCTCCTCCAGCACAGGCAGCAAGTCGCCCACCCCCAGGGAGCTCCGACTCTTCTCCCGAACCCGCAGGGAGTCGCATCCCGCAAATAGGGCTCGGGTTCCCCGTGGCGCGCTCCACGCCCCTCCCGGCCCCAGTCCGCCGGGGGCGTCCGCAACCAGCACCGCTGTGGCCGTCACCGCCACCCGTTCCCGGGCCACTGGGGACCGCGGGGGACCCTCCCGGAGGAGCGCTCGGCCCTCAGCCCCCGGTGGGGCCGGCGGCAGCTCCCAGGCCGCAGGCACCTCCCAGGAAAGGAAACCAATGGGAAGGAGGCCACCGCAGGCGCTGGGCAGCAGCAGCTTTGGCCATCTCGGGCTCTGGTAGCCCCGGGGTCGCATAGACAGGCCGCATGGGCCCGGAGCCTCAGGGCGGGGGTCGCCCCTGCACCTCCCAGACTCCCGGGCTGCGGCCTCCGGAAAGGGGGCAACCCACACTGCGCGCCCGGACTTGAGCCCGGAGCAAAGCCGCCACTTGTCCGCAGGCCAGCGGAGCAGGGACAAAGCGACTGGAGGAGGGGGTGGGGGTGAAGAGACAGCTGCGCCCTCTCGGGCTCCTGTCCTGGGCGGGGAGGCGAGAGAAGAGGGTGCGCAGAGAGCCGGCGGGTACAGGTTGGGGGACCCCCTAAGATCCTAGCCCTGGTGGTCCCGAAGGTGAGACAGCGCCGGCCGCTCGGCGAGGGAAAGGGACAGAGAGGGACAGGTGTCCGGGGGCCCCCGGCGCGCTCACCTTCTCCTGCGCGCGGGTGAGCTTCTTCTGCACGTTGCTAGCGATCTTCCCCGCCGTCACCCCCTTGCTGCCCATCTCGGCCATCGCGGCGCAGGCCTCAGCCCACGGCGGGCGCCGAAATCGCGCGGGGAGGCCGTGCGCACCGCGCTCCCAGCCCCCAGCCCCAGCCCCAGCCGCGCGTCCGGCCCCGGCTCCGGCTCCGGCTCCCGCTCCGCGCCGCGCACCACCCGGCCCGGCCGACTGACGGGAGGCGGAGCGTGCGCCCGGCGAGCGACGCGGGGACCGAGGGAGGGCCGCGCCGGGGGCGGGGGGAGGGGACCGAGGGGCCGGGCCTCGGGCGCGGGTCAGCGCCCCCCGCCGGACAAGACGCTGCCTTTTAAAGGGCCACTCTGGCCGGGGGGCTCCGCACTGAGGGGCTCTGGAGGAGCTGGGGGCGATGGTGACGGCGCCCCGCGCCGGGAACTGACGCCTGGGTCCGGAGTGCGGCCCCGCCTCGGGCTGGGCGTCTCCGCTCCTCCTCCGCTGCTGGCACCTCGGGGCAACCAGGTGGAGCAGGGGGAAGTTGTGCCGCAGGAGCGCGGAGCCGAGTTCCCAAGCTCCCCCGGCTGCGTGGCGGGCGCGGTGCGCGCGGTCAGCCGCCCCGCAGCGCCCTCTGCCCGCCCGGCGCCTCCCCCTGCCCGCCGGCAGCCGCGCAGGTGCGACCTCAGGGACGCCCGGGCGGTGCCAGTCCCTCCGAGTTGCCGCTTGCAAGCGAACGCTCGGCCGAGCGCCAGCTGCGTGCCTGACACCGGGCTGAGCGAGGCTGTAACGGGCAGGGACACCTGAGACGCGCAGAGGCCAGGCCCTGCAATCCAACCACCTACACGCACCTGCCAGCGGGAAACAGTCCTGGTCCCACCTTCCTAGCGGCGACTAGGTGATTCCGGTCAGCCGGCTTTGCCTGCAAAAGCCAACGTCGTTTACTCTGTGTTCACAGACGCTACCCTGAGCCCACTGATGCAAGTCCTACCTGGGGGCTGGCTGGGTCTTGTAGAGATGGCTTAGCCCTGCCCAGTGTGTGGACAGGAGCCACAGCTGGTGGCTGTGACTCCCCAGGTCAGTCAGGGGGACGGAATTGTGGGTGGGGAAGGGGGAGGTAGGGTTCTTTGGGAGACGCCCTGGGTGGAGCGCTCACAGGACAGCAGTTTGTACAAATGCAGAAGCTGGGAGCCCAGGAGCGAAAGATCAACCTGAGTTCATGCTGAAACTTTCTCTTTCTCTCTCTCTCTTCCTTTTAACATTTATTTTGTTAATCAAAAGACAGAGTTACAGATTGAGAAAGAAAGATCTTACATCTGTTGGTTCACACGGCCATAACAGCAGAAGCTGGGCCAAAGCCAGGAGCCTGGACCCGGATCCCGGTCTCGCACGTGGCTGTGGAGCCCAGACACTTGGGCCCTTTTCCGCTGTTTTCCCAGGCCATTGTCAGGGAGCTGGGTCAGAAGTGGAACAGCTGGGACTCCAGTGGGAGCTGTCAGGAGATGCCTCACCAGCAGCTGCCCCACGATGCAGGCCCCCACACTGGCTACTCATGTCCTTCCAGATGCTAATGCCTTGCCCAGGCCTCCCTGGAGAAAAACGGGGCTTTGCTGGGGATCCACCCCTAGGCCCCCACCCAAAAGCTGGGTGCTGGCTCTCCTGGAAGGGAGGACACTTTGAGGACCTACAGGTCCCACGCCCCCCAGCCTGGGGTTCTGAGCCCCCTTCCTCTGAGAAGCCCATCAGGCTTTCCCCTGGTTGTCTGTGTGGTTTTTCTAGCCATTCTCTCCAAGCCGACACTCCCCCAAGGAAGGGGGGAGGCCAGGCGAGTCAGAAAGATAACGATGTCCACCTCCAGACAGGGGTCAGCGGTGGCTGCTAGGCGATGGGAGGCGCCGACGGACCAGTGCCAAGACAAGGTAGCAGCACGAACATAATGCTTGTGGGATGTTTGGGAGTGAAAAGGAAGAAGACAGGAAATTACACAAACCCTGTCCTTGCAACCACAGCGAAATAAATGAGATGCCCATGGACACAGAGCCTGCTGTGCGTAAAGGAAGGAAGTAGACATTTAGGGCAAGGTGTTGTAATTGGCTTTTTCCCTCGGTTTCCTAGGCATTGAGCAATGCTACATTCAGCCACAGATCTGTTTTTCAGGAATGGGATTCCTTATCCAATTTCTGGATGCGGCTCTTAGGCGTGAAGATTTTTTTTCCCCACTTCGTTTTCTTATTTCCCCAATGTTGTACATGCACTCTTTTTTTTTTTCTTTGCCATCAAAAATAAATCATTTTTAAAATGCAAACGAGGAGCCTGGCCCCCAGGACCGGTGTTGGGAAACCACATTGTGGTGGCAGCAGACAGAGCAGCCAGAGCTGGGGAGAAATGTTGGCTTGGTGGCTTGCTTGTTTTTCAGACTTTTAGAGCAATGCTAACTTTGCAACGGACCGAGAGGAAGTTGCAGAGATTTCCTATAGGCCCTGGTCCACAACAGACCACACACACGCACATGCACACGCACACACACACATGCACACACTATGGTGGAGCACTCCACCGCTGCAGTGTCAGAGTAGTGACTGCCAAAAAATCCTTGCGCTCTGCCTGCCCATCGCCCACCCCCCAGCCCCTCTCAATCACCTGCCCATTGCTCTGCCTCCCCCTTGTCAATCACCAACCAAATTCTGCACGGTTCTGCCTTTTCCTCCGAATGTCAGAGTCGGAACCTACAGCAGAGAGGCTTTTGGGGTTTCTGCTTTTGCCGATAGATAACGTGTTTATGGTTCATCCCCGTCTGTTCGCAGCTCAAAAATTCATTTCCTGAAACACAGAGCAATAACCCATCGTCATGCTATAGCGTGGTCTACCCCAGCACCTAAGGGAAGATACCTTCACTGCTCACGGCCTTACGCAGTCGTGAATAAAGAGTGTCCGAGTGGACACAAGGACCCGACGCCCTTGGGTGGATGCCTATCAGAGAGAGTGATGGCAGAAACACACAGGAGGGTGTGTTTAGCGTAGCCAGGAGCTGCCAGCCTGTCCTCCCAAGTGGTGGGCCCCTTCTAGATCCCCCAGCCCCAGCTGAAGCAGAGAGACCCTCATTTCACAGCTCGCGTGCCCACCACACTGTCGGTGTTCTAGCTGTTCTGAAAGGCATGGAGTGGTGTATTCTCGCCTGGGAATGAGAAAAAGCCCTGCCCTGAATTCCCTTCTGTAATTCAAGAATTAAGTGAGAGGGTCTGGGCTGGCACTGCTCTGTCATCATCAACAGGATCATCATGATCCTGTCTTATAAACCAAGATTACTTTGCTGGAGCAAAGTAGCAAGCTAATCCTGTGTCTGCAATACTAGCATCACATTTAAACACCAGTTAGTGCCCCGGCCACTATATTTCCTAATTCAGCTCCCTGCTCATGGTCTAGGAAGGCAGCAGAGGATGGTCCAAGTCCTTGGGCCCCTGCACCCACATGGGAGACCTGGAAGAAGCACCAACTCCATACCTTGAATCAGCTCAGCTTTGATCAGTGTAGACATCTAGGGAGTGAACCAGCTTGTTTCTCCCTCTGTAACTCTGCTTTCCACATAAAACAAATTCTTTTTAAAACAATTACTTTGGGGCCCAGTGGCATGGCCTAGTGGCTAAAGTCCTTGCCTTGAACGCACCAGGATCCCATATGGCGCCGGTTCTAATCCCAGCAGCTCCACTTCCCATCCAGCTCTCTGTGGCCTGGGAAAGCAGTCGAGGACGGCCCAAAGCCTTGGGACCCTGCACCCATGTGGGAGATACCCGGAAGAAGTTCCTGGGTCCTGGCTTTGAATCGGCACAGCACCGGCCGTTGGCGCTCACTTGCGGAGTGAATCATCGGATGGAAGATCTTCCTCTCTGTTTCTCCTCCTCCTCTCTGTATATCTGACTTTCCAATAAAATAAATAAATCTTTAAAAAAAAAAAACAATTACTTTGCTTACATACTTTCAATAGCAGAACAACTCTGAATCCCGTAGAACTAGGACCTTCTTAGAAAGTAAAAAGTGTTTTTACAGATGCAGATACAGAGAATAAGGGTTTACCTGGAGGCCCTTGGCAGGTGGGTCTTCTCAGGTCAGGGGACTGTGGGTATCATCTCTTTTTTAAAAGTTATTTATTTCAATTGGAAAGGCAGATTTTTACAGAAAGAAAGAGAGATGGAGAGAAAAAATCTTCCATCTGTTGGTTCACTTCCTGGATGGCTGCAATGGCTGAAACTGAGCTAGTCCCAACCCAGGAGCCAGGAGTCAGGTCTCCCACATAGGTACAGGGTCCCAAGGTCTTGGGCTGTACCTGACTGCTTTCCCAGGTCACAGTCAAGGTGCTAGATAGGAAGTAGAGCAGCTGAGACTTAAACTGGTGCCCCTATGGAATGCTGGCGCTTGCAGGAGAGAGTGAATTAACCAATTGAGCCATTATGCTGGGACCATGGGCTTCACCTCCTGCAGAGAGCTGACTAGCAGAACCAGTTTCTTCAGGGCAACCTCAGTGTGGTATGGTAGACAAGAAGGGCCCCCTGACTCAAACACGCCTTCCTTTGGGGTGTCAGTTACAAGGGACAAGCTCGATTGTAACATGAGGGCTGGTTTACTGAGGAAATCGTGAACAACTCGCGTGAAAAGTCCCTGGAATGGGAGGCGTGACTCCGCACAATGCCAAGGATCTTCTGGGCATCACTCCGGTCTGCTGTGCTGTGTGTTGGCACTTCTCCACTGTGTCCTGTGCTGTGACTGCACATGATTGCAGTGTGTCCACCAGGGCTCTGTGGGCTGCCAAGCTCGGGCTCCACTGAAGCAGTGTAGAAAGGAGGTGGTGATTGGATCCATCTCGCTGTAGTTTACAAGAGCAGCTTAGTCCTCAGGGTTGGCAGAGATGAGGCCACGCCTGTGTCTTACCCCTTCTGCATGCTACCATCCCTCTGTCCCTACCACCCCCTTCTGTTTCTCTGCCATCTCAGGAAACAGCCAAAAGGCCCTCCCCAGTGGCCAACCCAACGGGCTCCCAGGTGCCAGAGCTGAGGGCTAAGGTGAACCTCTTCCCATTACACTGTGCAGCCTTGGGTTTCCTGCAACAAGA